GGCGTAACGTCACTGGGGGCGGAGCGTCACGCGGGTCCTGCTCAGCAACCACAGCACCTTTCGCCGTGGGAGGGCCACACATCGCTTCCTTGGCAGCCAAGTAATTGCTCCGTGTGGCGCAGGTTCTCCCCCGATGCGAAAATTCCTTATCGTAATCGCTTCCTTTAAGTTCAGTGGGAACAAAGGTCCTAACATGCGGGAAGCAGCTCTGTTGGAGCAGGTGCAGGGATGACCATGCCTCCAGCCATCATGACTACTGCCTTGTCCTTTCCCATCTTGTCGCTTTTATCACCTGCCTAAGTAAATGTGTCTTTGCTATGCTCAATGGCAGTGTATATCAACTGCTATCATTTTCTATTATCATCAACTATCTTGATTCCAGCCCCATCCCACATAGCTCGTGTTCATCACCGGCATTCTACTGTCAACGCAGAAACGAGTGGAATTTAGTGACACATTCATTCTAATGCACCTCATATATTAGGTTGTCGGAAAAGTCTTTGGCCATTTCGAGCTGTAAAATCCTCAGGGATAATTTTTGAACATTTATTGTAAAACGTATGTAAACCCTAGTCAATGATCTCTTCATAGCATTTCTGTCGTGGTTTCTCACAGCGATTATGGCTGAGAAAATCGTTTTGACTGAAAGCATGTTTGGCTGCTCTGTTTCTAAAACCCAGAAAACGCGTCAATGGAAGCGATGCGGCAAGAGCTCACGTCTTGCGATGGAACCCCAGAGTGTCTTTCACGACATGGTAAACATTTGGTTGCCGAAGTCCAGAAACTCGAGAAAAATGCACAAATTCTTTTGGCCTGTTCCTCTGAATGACGAGTGTCTTCTGGAGCTGTTTGGAAACAGTCTCCGGAGCAATGCTCGGGAACTGACGCAGCTTTTTCGAAGTTTTCAGAACACAATAGCTGTTCCTCAATATCTTCTCAAAAGGCGAGAAATATGGAAAAAGGAGGTTTCGTGACATTGGTGACAACCGCCGTCAGAGGCCTTCAGATTTTGCATGAACATTTTGATTTACCGTCTGTCTCTTGTTTGACCCGACTACTTTGTTGGTGGTAATCAGAAGTGGGTTCCTCACGTAAACCACTGCAGTTCGAAGCGCCAGTGGCCCAGACGCGTAGAATCGGATTCCAGCGCCGATTCCAGCACCTGCAACCTGAGAGGGAACTTTCAGAACTGATGAATCCAAGCGGTTCGTTCACTGACAGCTCCTACCAAAGAACTGCTCTGCTATTGCTGAACCATAATATGGGCAAATGGATGGGTTCGCCAGCACTATGTTCTAAAACCATGGAAAAGTTTACTTTACCCAGGCAACGCTTGTCAACGAATTAGGATGAAGGTTCAGCAAAAGTCTCCAAGCCCGTTATGGGACGTTCTGTCCCACCTGTTGCGTTCAGCAGGCCCGGCACTAACACCCATCTGCTTCCATTGCTGTCAAGTCAAACAAAAGAGGGAGAGCTCAATGATTCGAACCTACTCGAAGAGGACTTCTTCAAGGTTTTTGCTTAAAAGCTCAGGATTTCTAGGCAAACGGCATCCACGAGTTACCTGCTAAAAGGCAATATGTTGGCGATTATGGTGGGGCATATATTTGTAAATTGCTCACTGTGCTAAAGAAGAAAAGTGAATTAGAAAAAAATTGACAAATGGCCAAAGACTTTTCCGACAACCTAATACCTCCATCAGCTGTCACCACTTTTTTCATCTACCTTCATTGCCTCAGTCCATATCAGTTGTCAAGGCCAACGCCCCACTGAGAGTTTGAAAATGTTCTGAACTTCGTGACAAATAGACCAGCTCCCACACAAAACTCACAGTGTTGTGCCTCTTGACGCGTCTTTGGGAAAAAGTTAGTTCAGATATTTATTGAACACCATGACATATTAAAAACAACCCTTAGATATGTGATCAGAAAGAATCAAGAAGAATTGCGGGATGCAGTTCAGGCTTTGCTTGTCCAGGCAGTTTTTTGTGGAATCGTATCAGCATTTCGTTGATTGTAGATGTAATAGGCCGCGGCGATGGTGAGTAAAAGGCCGAGGTAGTTGAGCACACCAGGCGACACGTCGTAGAACAGGTACAGCGACAGGAAGTAGGCGACGAAAATCTATAAACGCCTTCGGATTATATCAGAACACATGGGAAACACAAGTGGCCAACCTGGAATGCGGCCCGGATGTTCGAAAGGATTTGTGTGTTGAGAGCACCATTGTGTTCGATGCAGACGAAGGTGGCGAACTGGAGCAAAATACCGGAGAGTAGCAGGACGACAAAAACGCTACTGAACAAGGGATGCGCCGATGTCATCATGTACATGAACGCGTCACGGATCTCGTCCTGTAATTATGAGCTTCATTCAAAATGTAAAACTACAAACTGGGATTACTTCGAATTGGGTTAATATTTGCAGCATAAGGTAGCCACTGTATGGCAACTTGCTATTTTTTCCTACTTGCATTGCAGTGAAGGTACTGTCATGAAATATCGTAATAAGGGCGATGCGCCCTTGTGCCTTTATTTGTTACTGCATCGCTTGTTGCCGAAACACAGTCGATCTGTCAGCGCAAGTACCCAATAAGGGACTATAAGTGTAGCAAAAGAATAAGGCTGATAACTCTGTCTTACTGGGTGGTGTGACCTTGCAGGGCACCACATACCTACCGGGTAATAGTGCAAGCCGCGCTCTAATCCGTGTAAGCACCCTCGCCTCCCATCGTTGCTATTCTCGATCGCCTGATACTACCTGATCCGAGTTTTAAGAGGTCAACAGGCCCCTCAAAAGTACATCGGCCTGACCCAATAATTTATTGTGTAGGCGCCATATCACGTTCATATGCCACTATGTTTCTAATCCGCAGAGAAATGTGAGCTTATCCCAATGAAGGATTGGTCAATTTTGAAAACTAACTTTAAATCCGTAATAACTTCGTATACGACTCCGTGCCGGGATTTCAGAAGCGCACGATTTAATCTCCACCCTTAATGACATGGTATTTGAAGGCACGAATCGGGATCGACATGGGTTTGTTGAAAGATATGCCCTCCAAGAAGTTAGTGAACAACTTAGCGGGACAAAGCAAAAAGTGCCAATAATCAACACTCGTAATTCCCCTTCTTGACGGTCCGGCTGTGTGTTGCGGAGAGACATAGCGCTGCATATGGAGAAAATGCGAGAGAGCGTTATCAAACGAGAGGCGCAGCACGCTCCTCTGTGCGTATGCCTAAGCACGGTCAGCGGCAGCACACAAGGCAATCGCAGCGCGTTCACCTCCCGAACTTCCACGACACGTGGCGCAACCTCCTGCGCCTGGCGATCCTTTCTTTCTCAGCTCTAGCAAGAACTGCTTCCTAAAGACGCTATACCAACCGTACCAGCTTTAACGATCCTCGAACCGTATAGCCGTTCCCAGCGTTGACGTTATAAATACCCTTCCTGGCATAGTTACACCCCCTCTAAAAGCGATGTCTGTGCTTTCACATGCTACCCCTGAGTAATATAAAGCTTCCTTCGCTTGATGCAGAGTCCGAAATCATCTACTTGATACTTCCTTTACGCGCCGTAGCCCAAATACGAAAGTTCCGCTCGCCCCTTCGCGCATCCCCCCCGGATTTTCTCCTCTCTACGAAACACACAAATAAACGCCAGACCCTAGACTTAGCCCTACCTAAGATGTAAGATTCCGGCCATATTGAAAGCAAGGATTGAACGTCCATTTCCTCAAAAGCCCTAACCTGCACGACACATCCGCTATGAGGAACACAATCAGCGAGTTGAACGCATGCATGTACAACAGTTCCATCGCCTAAAACGTAATGGCTTAGGAACGATACATAAATTGAAGTGGTGTAATGTGTGCGTGCCTGGAATGTATGTGAAAGGGATTCGAACTGAAGATATGCAGCGCCCTGTAGAACAGCGGCCAGCCCACCATAGAGCAACATCCGCGAATATTGACGAGTAAAGTTCGCAATTCACTGAAATACTCAAATGTGCAAATCTAAGGCATAAATGCCTGGAACATTTGAAAAATGATCCCCCCCCTGTGGGCCTTGCTTCCATTATAGTAAACAAAACATACACCGGTGTGCAAAACTTAAGGCAACAAACCGTAAAATTGCAAAACTTAAGGACGAACCTAAATTTTCCGTGACGTATTACTGCCGAGTAAAACAGCTCTATAGAACCTAACCACACATATAAGGAACTGCTCCAGTATAGTACAAAAAGCAAATAATAGGAACCGTTAAAAGGTCCACAAAGCTATAAATAAGTTAGGTTACTTCATCTGTCTCGTCCTTAAGTTTTGCACACCAGTGTATTTCTTTTCCAGGCTACATTCATCGTAACACCTGTCTTTAAGCAACTTCTAGCGTCTAGCAGCTTCAGCACAGGATGATTTCTGCTTAAGCAAGAGCAAATAAGCCTTCGGGAACGTTACGAGGGAAGCTCAAAGGTTTGCCTACGTGATCACATTTGCTTCAATTTCCACCACACTTCCAGTCTCTTGGTAAAACTGCTTGTGCAGTTTTTTTTCTGCAGCCGCTTTGTGAAAGGCAACATTGTCATGAAAAACTGTTGAGACGTACCTGTAACAAATGAAGTGAACGAAATTGCCGCCACGCCCACTAATTGGACATGGTCTAGGCGACCTGACGTGAGACTGCATTTGCTCCGAGAAGAATTACCAGAGGAGTAACTCTGAAACATTCACGAAGATGTCGGAGATTGACAAATGTGTCGCACTCATGGTAATCACATCACCAAACTAAACCCTGCCCCGGGCATCTAAGCCCCCGATCTTACCTTCGTAAAGATGACTAGTTTCTGAGGAAACATAATGGAAATTGATGGGTTCGGTTTCTGAATGCACCGCCAGTAGACGCATTTCGACTGTCTATTGAGGGAGGATTCCACGATAAAAACGAAGGTCGAAGAAAGGGAAATTTACCTAGTGGAGAGACAGGCGGACCTCCTAAGGGTGCGGACCGACACGCAATTCGCATTGAAGATATGCCCCCGGCGATCTAGCATGGCCTTCTGCGCGGCGCTGTCGGCGCGGTACACCATCTCTCCCTGCCTGAGCATCTCGTTGCTTTGCTGAGAGAGCGTTAGCTCGAAAGAAGGCAGCACCGATGAAAGCCGCATCAGTGCGAAAACCAACGAGCAAGGAAGGGGTCCCTTTTCTCGGGTTTCGATCATGACCACTTCTAATTCTAATTGTCTCCTCTGGAATGCACGTTATATCCTGAAATCCACTCAATAAATACAAGAGCAGGTTGGATACGTTCTGGTGCGGCTGAGGCAACCATCTCATTGGTTCAGTTGACCTTTTGCAAATTTCGCTAGTACATTAAACGCCTTCAGATGGTGCAGCAAAAGGTTCAAGGGAAGTTTCTCTGAAAAATTGCGAGGGGAGTGTCTTCTCTTGCCGAGTGTTTTCTCAATTTCATTTTATGAATTCAACGAGTCGACCTATAGGCCAGATTCAAGGGCAGAAATGGTATCCCTCGAACGATGTGGGCAAAATATGCAAGAATGTCTTGCACAAATCGCGACAAAACGGTCTTCACGAAGGGGAAAGATGGAGAATAATGGAGGCGGTTAAGCAGAGTCCATGGAGGCGGACTAATGCGATAACTTCCCCGCAGAAGGAGCGCTAGCGAAGTTCGGCGTCGAAGGAGCTTCAAAGCCTGGTTCTTGCACACACTTCCCCTCCCCCTCTCCAGTCACGTGGAGGGTATGGTAACGGGAATGTATTCGAAATGAAGCCGCTACCGTTGTACACTCCGTTTTTTTAAGTGCACTAATGCCTGGTACATTGGGGAAACAATCACTGAAACCGTGGTGATAGCAGGGTTCAACGCTACCATAATGACCTCTACATAATAGTGGGTGAACTCGCCCAATAACGAAGTCAAGGGGGGAAACAGGGTTTCGCATTCTCAAGATTTTGACCGTTTTCTTATTCTTTTACACAGTCGCATTTTTTCCATCTGGCAACCTCTACTTTCGCATTTAATTTTCTTCGCAATAGTTGCACCGAAGACGCATTTCGATAAGTCTGACGATCAATTTTGTTGAGCATTGGTAAGCTGCGCTAGTGAAAAAGCATTGGAACAAAGAAACATAATAAATCAAGAGTGACCCTCTCTGCCGCAGCGATTTGCGACGACGGTTTCACGGCTAAGATAATTGATAGTTCCCCATGACATATGCTATACGAAGTTGCGAGAAAACAATGCAGCTGCTGGTGACGAAATGCACTATCGAACGAAAGATGAGCTATTTTGCTACATAATGGGTTTCGAAAAACATTAACCATTTCACTTGAAGGGGACGGATGCCATGTTTTTTTTCTATATCTTAACTTCTGAAGGGCGGAAGTGGTGTAGTGACAAGTGGCGCGCTTCACCACGCGAGCGGTCCGGGGATCAAATCCTGGGTCGTGAGTCGCCCGGGCCAACCAAGCCTTCCATCCCTCCGGGGTCGGTTAATTGGTACCAGACTTGTCTGGGAGGATAAAAACACTGACTTGAACATCGGCTGGCCCCGCAAGTCATTGTATAGGCCACATCGCATTCAAACGCCACTGCGAATGTACAAATGGAAGTAGAATGCGTGCCGCATCCCAAAAAGGGATTGATCAACGGCAAATGCTTTATCCTTTATCCTTTATTATCCTATCTGTGAACTTGAAGGCAGGAATTCACATAAGAAGAAGGAATTGAAGAAAGAGTAATTAACTCTAGTGAGGGAGACGGCGGAACCTCGATTGAGGTGCGGACTGACGCGCCGGAACTAAAAGATTTAACCTCGACGACCTAGCAGGACTCATTCTTTGGCAGACGTCATACTTTGCAAGTTCGCTAGCGATTCGCCAGCGATTCGCTAGCCGAATCGCAAAGTATGATCGTAGCCTTGGCGTAGTCGGCGGGATCCGCCCACCAACCTCTTCTGAATCAGTGCCGCAGGTTAGACGCGCGCGAAGTCATTAGACAGCAGAGAGCGATAGACACATAGGGGTTGGAGTGCCATCAATCGCAAAGGCAACAGCAAGAAGGGGTATCCACGACTATTGCCGTCCTTGAGCCGTTTTTTTATGAATTTTTTCCTTATTTCGATTTACCACTCGCCATACCTATCTAATTTGAGAGTGGTTGCTTTTCCATCGTGAACTCACGTCACCTTTCTTCTTTCCGTTCCACACATCGCCTTTACTTCCACTTTATACACATCCAGCCTTTATTAACGCATCCGTTGCCTTTCGAAAATGATTTCGCTCTTTTTGAAAATTGATTTATTTAGATGAAATTTGAAAATTATCCATACACTTCGAGTTGCCGAATATCTCGCAGAGAAAATGCGAACAGGAGGGGGGCGAACGAGGAATCGCGATTTTTCAAAAAAGCAAATTAAGAAGCGGTCAGTAATGCAAGTAAGGAGGTCCGAGGGAAGCAGTCGGCACGGAATATTGGATTACCTTATAAATCCGAGGATCAAATCCCGGATTTCAATTTTGTTAGTCCTCCAGAAGCTCCTTTTCTGGAGACGGCTAATCTCTGTCAGAACCTCATGAAGACAGGAAATAATTGTTCTGTTACATTCCATGTCATTTTCAAGACCGGATTATCCTGTTCTAACAAATGCAAACTGTAAGTTAACAAATAGTAGTTTACGAACCTTTTGACAGACTCGAACGATGGCATTCCGATTCCTTCGAAGGCGACCACCGTAAGCCATTGGGCAACGCAGAGCATAATCGACGGCAAGAAGCAGTGTCGACCTTTTTCGAATGAGTACGGCGACAATTTCACCACTCCAAACACTCTAAACGCTTTATTGTGCTTCAAATATCATACCACTCAGCGACTGAAGACTAACAGCTAGTTAAAAGATTGCTATATATCTGTATTACAGTCAATTCATGAGTCAATAATCTTGGTACATGTGTTCCTTTCAAGGGCAATTCATTCACAACTCTCTGAATGTGCATAAGCCGAAAAAGGCAGTAAGGCTGTGATACTAGTTAATAGGAGACAGCGTACACTTTCAAGTGGAATCTCAACGTCTTCAAAGTCTCTCATACCTCGTCAAAATTTTATAGAAAAAGACATATGCGACATTCAAATACAGTTAGTACCGCAAAAATCGCATTAGGTATACTGAATATCCCTCTCAAACCCTCAAATTCCTGTTTTCTGACCTCTTTCAGTAAGGTGGTGCTGAATCATCTATTGGAACCCATTTCACCCAATGACAAACTTTTGACCTATCAAGGACACTCGACTCTGGCGAATCCTCCTTCGAGCTGGCTACCTTTGATTCAGTCAACAAGCAAGTATGCGATTTCTTGATTGCCTGTTAGCAATTTTATGTATAAATTCAATCTCTTAATGGCTGACTCAAAATACCTAAACAATTTCAAAACAGTACCGAATAAGACAGACATGACATGAGACATGTTCTTGAAATACAGATGAGAAATTTGGCTGGACTGTTTCCAAGTTCTACTGTTTTTCCTCCTTCCTTCATTAACTTTCATTCCTTCATATATTTTGTACTTCGTATTTCAAGTCCAAATTTTAGATAATTTGGTGAATGTAGAATGGTGCAGTTTTCCATAGCGAGCACACGAGTATTTTTTGTTGTGCAAGTTCACTGGACTGAGCTGGCAACCCATCACAGTCACCAAATCAGGAATTTTAGAAAAGTTGCTCATACTAAGTTTAAAAAAATTGACCAACTTTGAGCCACATCCCTAGAATTTTTTTTCGGAAATCGAGTTTTTCCAACCTCAACAATTCGATGATGAAAAGAGTGGTGGCCATTTGCAGCATGAGGATGACGACTGGGTAGTCAAAGAAAAATCGAGTGACGACCACTTTGCCCACCAAGGAGCAGAATATCGTGGAGCCGACATAGAAGGCAGCGCTAAAAACGTATGAAATCTTGTGAATTCGATAAAAAAACGTTTGAAATACCTTCGAACGGCCGGTGTCAGCAATAGGCGCATCGCAAAATAGCCAAATCGGTCTGCAAGATCTGGCCCAGTTCAACACAAGATCCACGGCCAGATATGAACTGTGTGGGCGAGCTCGAAACACCGCGCCTCGGATAAGAACTTGGTACGGGAAAATGCTTCCACTTTCATAACTTCTGGATAGATTTCTGAATCTGTGATATTTTATTCGCAGCAATGTTCTGATACACCACTAGCCATGGGCAGTACTGCGCCACGCCCTCATGAAATGTTTATGTGAATGTTTGTCACATAAATTCAAAATTTTGAAGACCAAGGTACTATCCGAGCTCGCA